TTTGACTTTTGTCTTTCTTCTTGTTCTTCCACGATCGCCGAACGCTCCAAAACTTATTACTAACAGTCGACTGTGACAGCTCGGGGTCGTTTAATAAATTAGGTTGATTTTCGACAAGTTGAGTGAGAAAGTCGCACGTTTCGCGAATATTATCTAACAAGTACACCAGTAGCTCGTGAGCATCTTGCTGGTGGTTTCCCTCAAATATGTAATTGGCATCTCTCACCGCTTGTAAAAATGCCAAAGGCTGAAAGGAGTCCCTCGATTCCTTCAGTTCTAAATTATGCATGGTTGTAAAGACTTCATGAAGTTTCTCGGTGACGATCTGCACCCTGGACTTAGGAATAACGTCTAAATTTCCCAAAGATAAAAGATCTTTGCTACTGGTACTTCTAGAACTTGGTCCCGAAATACTTCCAACATTGCGGCCGAGGGAAGAACTTTTCGCTTTATTTTGATTTACGCGAGAATTGATTAAAGCTAAATCGCCTATCAGGTGATGCAGATTATGTAAGAATGTAGGTGCGAAACGTAATGTGTACAATACGCTGTTCAGAAAACAGGTATTACCCACATTGGACAGAGTAGCGACAGGACGTTCTTGGGAGTTGTCTCCTGTAGAGCGATAATGGTTATCATTGGAACGATATCCGTTTAACATTCTTCCAATCGCTAATTTTTTTGTAGTATTGGTGTGCGGCTCTGAATTTTTTCGTTTCCTTTGCTTCTGTTCAATGAGTTTCTCCGCCGATTTCTTTAAAGATAACTTATTGCGAGTATAAATCACCTCGTCCTCCAGTACTGTCATCTTCTTTACTAAACCTGCAAATATTAAAACTCAAATAGGCATACTTCACATTTACATTACGCCAAAATTTTCCAGCGATTTATGAAAGGTTTAACTTACATGTGTAATTCGGAGAAACGGTTCGGGATTACAACTTGCGAATGGGATGAAAACTTTAACCAAGTTTAAATAAATACGTGAAATTTAACTGAAATAGAAAAGCCATCAATAAAATTACAACTTTTTTACAGGTAAGGTAAGAAAATCAAACGGTAACTCATATCACTAAAACTTCCTGTAGTAGTCAACAAATTTCCCTAACAAATGACGCGTTCTACAAAACCATAGAAGTAGGTATGCCGTCGCTACATCCAGGGGTGCATTCAGATCAATAGAGAGGAACTGATGATTTTTCCCACGGTTGCCCGAGGGTCACAAAGCACTAAGGTAAAAATGCTAAAATGGCATTTCTCTCCAATGGTGTAGGTACTACATCTATTTTTTTCCAGTGATGAAAGTATTTAATTAAGCTTAAATTCAAAATTTTCAAAAATTTTTCATTAAAACCCTTTAATGGAGTATTGAAGCTGCATCATGGCAACAAATCCCCGTGCCTTTGTCTAAGCTTTCATGCCAACCAATAAGCACATATCGTGTTTTGTTAAAAACGTGCGTGACTTATGGAATTTGCTGGTTCTTCTGAAGAGCCTTTTGAAATTACTGAGGCTGCTAACGCTATGTTGTGAATTTACTACCCGCGAGGTCCAAAAAATTGTATGTAGCAGCATACTAAAGTTTTCAAGATGATTGCTAGAAAAAGTGTGAAGATTTTTTTCCGAAAATGTCATGTTGGTCTATTTTAGCGAAAAGTGTTCTACCGTTCTACGGTGTGATCGCAATATTTTATGGCGAGGACAACATCGATAGAAGTAAATCCCAAAATTGGTCTTATTTCTAAAAAGAAATTCAGAGAGGTGCCTATAGAAAAGGTTTTTTGTCTGAAACTTACGATTATAGGTACTCATATTACAGATATACGCGCGGTTGTGTGTAAGTATATCATTCTGTGCCCATATCATGCGAGAGGTAAAATAGATTAAGTATTAGAGAGGTTTCACCCTGTATATACAACCATTGTATATACAATGATGTTATCAATGAATTCGAGACATATCCAGTCTCCGTGATAATAACTAAAAAATGAAATTAAAAAAAACTAAACACTTAATTTATTAACTTAATTTCTTAATTAAACTGAAGATGGCACATGGGGGGAGGGGAAGGTGGGGTGGAACTAGTTTTATCCTTCACGGTACTCTAATGAAAGGTCTCAACGAAAGGAATTAATTTCCACTAACCATAGCCTTCTTCCTCGACCTCTTATCGTAATCGGGTATATTCCCTTATACCTCAAGAACGGATTGTCAGAAGAGGGTACTCACAATGGGCGATTGAGACGTCTGCAAGAAATATATCCATTGGTGATGTCAAAACAAAAGCTATTTCGGTTAAAAGAATGCGCTTTATCTGCACAAGAGTTGTGCACAATTTACACTTGTTTAACACGAAAACAAATATTTTAAGCTCACTTTCAGTCTCTCACACCCGCGTGGACTAAATTGGCACGTGGTCACGACAATGCCTTTTGAGGGCCCAGAACAAGAGGGACAATAAATAAATAAATAGAAAAATAAATAAATGTATAAATAAATAAATAAATAAATAAATAAATAAATAAACTTTAAAGTTTGTATAAATAAAAATGTCGCAACCTTTCTAGTGTCATTGCAGTAAAGTCGCGACATAAAAACGAACCTTAATAATGAACATTTTTGTTTATCAGTGTGGCTTATTTCAATTATGTAATCTGCCTCCTAGATTTTCCATCTCTTCTTGTTTGTTAAAGGTAAAGCGCAAAATATAAGCACGCCATTGATATATAGTTATTTATATTGTTTTTACGTGTCTTAGAAAAGAGCCATTTTCACGTGCACTCCCGGAACGATGCGCCGTAAGTTTTGGAATAGTAGGAGAGTGGGTAGACATTTTAGGATAGGTATTTGAGGCACGCTGAAAACTTGCAATGCAGGAACTTATCAGCACATCCACGTAAAGGACCATTTCGATCCATTTTGCATTTTTTGAACTTGCTCTGTTGTTGTTGCGTTAATAATTAATTTTTATGATCTGGACAAAATGGGATTCTGGGTGATGTCATTCGCGTATTTTAATACTGAACGTTTATTGGCTGAGAATTACGAGGCAACCTACTCTCCTTACTAATCTAGGGCCAGTATACACTTCAAATCAGTGGAGTCCCTTGGCCCTGCGTCATTGATTTGTGAATCAATTTCAGACAAGTTTTTTTTATCGATTTCGCACACTTGATAGTTGTTACAGCGTTTTAGCGCATGTCTGAAATTCATTCACAAATCAATGACGCTGGGCTACGGACTTCTGATTTCAAGGTACATTATTTTTTTAAACTTTGAAGGCGCCTGGTAAAGTGTTAGCCCCGCTTCTCTTCAGCCAGGTCTGCAATTCTGTGTTTGGGTATTATTGGAGAAGTATAGAAGTAAATCCCAAAATTGGTCTTATTTCTAAAAAGAAATTCAGAGAGGTGCCTATAGAAAAGGTTTTTTGTCTGAAACTTACGATTATAGGTATACTCATATTACAGATATACGCGCGGTTGTGTGTAAGTATATCATTCTGTGCCCATATCATGCGAGAGGTAAAATAGATTAAGTATTAGAGAGGTTTCACCCTGTATATACAACCATTGTATATACAATGATGTTATCAATGAATTCGAGACATATCCAGTCTCCGTGATAATAACTAAAAAATGAAATTTAAAAAAACTAAACACTTAATTTATTAACTTAATTTCTTAATTAAACTGAAGATGGCACATGGGGGGAGGGGAAGGTGGGGTGGAACTAGTTTTATCCTTCACGGTACTCTAATGAAAGGATAAGTTTTCAGCGTGCCTCAAATACCTACCCAAAAATGTCTAGTAGGTTTGTTTGTTTTTGCTGTGCGGCGTGACATTAATATTATGGTAATCCTCTGGATTGGGAGGTATTCTTCATTTCTTGTAATAGGTACCTACCTAACATCCAATTCTCGGATTTATCTGTTTGTTCAAATACTATACCTATGCACCAGAATCTTTTCTTCCTTCTCTTCTTCGGAGTTCGGCTCTTCATGTACATATATGTACCTATAGTACGTGTTGTGCGCCCGTCATATATTTTTGAACAGCTGGAATGCAATTGTCTTCTTCTTATCAAACTCATCTTGTTGTCGACAGACGACAGGACCACACTTGAATTAATGAAATGGCGCGAACAAACACTAGTTTACACCAAGGTTGTGTTATTAGAAAGGTTGTCTGGTAACTCTAAACCAATAGAATGCTTGCATTTTGAAGGCGGGAAAACGTCATCCAGAATTCACATTTAAAATTGCTCATAGGTTACAATGCTAATAAAAGGGGTAAAAAATTTAGTTTTTGCAGTATATTTTTGGATTTATATGAGTATATGTATATAAGAGTGGATCTTAGGTATATTGGAAATCTTGGAAGTTTATCGAGTTCCACCTTTGAAAGCAATCATATAAGTATTGAAAAAATGAGTGTACTGCGTAAGCTATTTTACATTACACGAGGACTTGTGAAAATGTAATCAAATTAATTTTAGAGGTGGAAATGGATAAAATTCCGCGATCTACAAAATAGGAACCACCCCTATGCATTAATACCTAGGCTTTGGGAATTAAAACTCTAAACATTCTTTAGCGGATGACGCCAAATAAAATGCTGTTGCGTTTTATGGAATATGTATATTTATAGTATGTACAAAATGGTATCCGAGGTGCACACGGCGAGCTCTGTCATTGGGGTGAGCCCAGATGCAGGTCTTCTGACTGATGGAGTGCGGCGCGAGGTCGAGCTGGCAAGGCGACCTGGTTCTGCAAATGGAGAGCTTTTTGTTTCTTGAAGTGCAGTTGAAGCAGGAATTACGTTGCACTTGCAGAGTTCGTGGCTCTGCTTTTAAACGTTTGCGGCCAGGAACGCTACGCTTTCATCGGTTGGCCGTTTTGACCAATGAGGTCGCAGCACGTTTTAGTTTGCTGCCGGATGTAAAATATTTTCTTACCCGTTCTTTAAGAACGGTAGGGTCTTTGGGAAACGTAAAAACCGAGATTTTATTTTTTTGATTTTTTCATTAATTTTTCTTTATTTAGGTCTAATTATCTTAATTTAACAAGTACATACTATCACGCTATAGTCGCTACAGACTAATTTTATACAATTCTTTCTTGACACTTTAGTACCGCTCCTACACTTTATCGTAAGCTGATAACTTTTCTTTGATTAAATGGAAGTGTGATTTATGCCACTGCACTTGCAGTCTAACACTTTCCAAGGATTGTTCGATTGCTTGTTTGCTTGGAACCAAATAATTGCTGTTTCTAATTGTGAAGTTTTTCAACTTAAACAAAAAAAATAATTTAATTTTGTCGCATTTTTGTATAGTAGCCTTACTTCCTGATAATCTTCTTCGTAAATCATCTGCGAGGCAAGCGTAGATATAAGCGACGACACTCTTCGACTGTTAACTCCCAAACTGAAAAATAGATACAATAATTTTTTAAAATTAATTATGTCGTCTATAACATTACTAATTTTGTATATCGCCTATTCTTTTCCACACGAAATTCTTTGCCACATAGTAACCCACTTCGTTTTTCGCCACGGATGTAAATGTAAGCAAAGCGTCTTGTTTTCTGATACCTGAAGTATCATCAATCGCCCAATCCATGTACCTTTCCAACAACCAAACCTCCCTGGTACAACCCAAAGTGCTCAGTATTAAGGATTTTTCGGTTGCCGTGTTCGTAGTCTTATACTGATTCCATAAAAAGTTCCATTCAGCTTCACCGCCATGTTTGACAGCGGTACAATACACCACTGATCGCAACTCTTTTGGTATGCTACAATTAAGGTACTTACGTAAAGTAAGTAAGTAAATTATACCTTATATTTACATATTGTTGCTTGGATTTTCTAACCATTTGTTGAAAACTTCCCGAGCTTCTTGTACGCAAGTACCTACCCTAAATTTACAACCCCAACTTGTTATCATCGAACGATACCGTGTGCTTTCTAACAAATTCTTTGTTGGTTTTTTGTTCAAACCACCTACATCGTTGTAGATTGGAGAGATGAGCGCATTCATAAATTCCTACATTTAAAAGGTGGACCGTTTAAATAAATAACAACGTTTGGTTTTTTTTTACCTTAAACGCGCCAAAAGCGGACGTTCTTCGTATCAGTTTTTCAACAGTGTCTATGTTTGATAGGGCAGATTTCCATGGCAAATATTCCTTTTCATACCGTAGATAATCCAGAACATCAAAGTAGATGCTGTAAGGTAACTTTCCTACCCACGCCAAAGCGCCTGAATCTTCAATTAGCTGAACACGATTTAGCGCACCTATCGTACTATATAGGTCACTTTGCAGAGTTTTGATGAGCATTTTCCAATTATCTTCATCGTAATTGATTCTGTATAACCCTACAAAAATCATTTTACTAAACATCGGTATCTGTATTAGTTCATTTACCTGATACGTTCAAGTTAAACAATATCCATTGGTCGTTATTAGGTAAATTATTGATAGACAGAGATCCCTGTGGGCAGGTCATCCATTGCAAAGGTTTTGTACTTTTGAAATTTAAATCCCGTTGTGTTGTATAAGTAATGGGTATCCACCAACATGAATTTTTCTTCTCTCTTTCCAAAGTATCCAGTAGAAAACGTTCCTGAAATTAAGGTGTGCAATTTTTTTTTAAATTTTAATTTTAATAAATATCCTAAGGATCGTCTTCCACTTTTCCTAACTGGTCGATAATTTCGTTCATCTGCATGGGTGTTACCTGTTTGTCAGTTAAATTTCAGGGAAGGGAGATAAACTGTGATGATGTGATTTGTTTGATATGTTGTCTAGGATAGTTAGTAAGTGTTTAAAATATAATCAAATGTTGGTTGCGTATGCTGCAGGATTTCCCTATTCGGCCATAATTACGTTTTCGAAATATAATAATGGACACTATACTAAGATGACATACCTGACTAAGCTGCGCCGAATTGGTCTGGTAATTTCTTATGACTGTAACTAATGGGAATCCAGTTTGTAAGGTCCAAGTGTCCATAATTTCTTTTACAGTCAGATGTGATAGCAAAGATGCGTCTTCATGCGCTTGCTCCGTTAAGGCTTGCCACAGGTCGTCCTGCTCAGCATTACTAAACTTGTGTTTGTTTAAATAATGTGTCACTCCATTTTTAAAGGTCTTTTCAGAGAGAAAATTACGTATCATGTGCAACAAAAATGAACCTTTTTTATAAGAGATTATATCGAAAATTTCGTTAATTTCTTTAGGATTTGCGACTGTGACTGAAACCTAAATAGTGTACAGTAATATGGAATATCGTCAACTTTGAAATTACCGGGTGGGATGACTTTAAAGCATCCAAACTGAAAACCGACAACATATTTGATACGGTTTCGTGAGAGAGGCTATTCCATTCGGGAAAAAGATTGTGTACTGCCAATGCCGCCATATGTGTGGCGAACCCTTCGTTTAACCACAAGTCGGTCCACCATTTCATCGTAACCAAGTTGCCAAACCATTGATGAGCCAATTCATGTGCAATCACACTGACTATAGAATGCTTGTTAACCTCGGAAGAGGTCGAGTTATCAAATAATAAAACCGTTTCCCTATACGTTATCAATCCCCAATTTTCCATAGCGCCTGCATTGAAATCGGGAATAGCGATCATATCCTGTTTTGGTAGCGGATATTTTATATCGAAAAAGTTCTCGTAAAATTGCAAACACTTGGGACCAACATTTTTAGCAAACTCAACCTAAAAATAACTTACTGACTGTGGCCATTGGAGTGACAACTTACTTGATTAATAGCGTTGCTCCTTGCCCATATCCTAAACACAGCGCTATTGTTATTTGGAGGTGACTCCTTGTATTCAAAATCAGAAACAACAAACGCAATGAGATATGTGGAAATAGGAACAGTTTCCTCGTAACGATCCCAGACCCACCCCGGTTTTCCTCTTCTGTAAGCAGCTCAATGTGAACCTAAATATTATTGTAATATACTTACATTGGTTCGGTTTTGCTTAGGGGCATATTACTTATGCTACTGTACTTTTCGGTCCGGCCTAAGCTAATATTGAAGATTGCTTTGAGCGACGGTTCATCAAAACACGGAAAGGCACTACGTGCGGATGTTGGTTCAAACTGTGTTACAGACAACCATTCTTTGCGCTTTGTTTTTGGATTATCGTAACTACTCCTATAGTATCCGTCCAAATTTTGATCCAACGTTCTATTGAACGGTATAAATATTTCATATTTTTGGTCCAATTTTAAAGGTTGGTCTAAAATAATGGTAAAGAAATCGTTTTCTTCGTTGAATGAAAAATTTGTTAATTTTATTGAGTTTTTGACGTCCGCATCAATAGTTTTAACGGTGGTGCCATTGGTATTTATTGTTAATCCTTCCGAGTGCAGCACAACTTGATTTGTTTCTTTAATGCATTTCACCTAAAATAATAAGATAGAGGTAATACGCTAGTGATTCATATTACATACTATAACTACTATTATATTATATTTACTTATTTAAACAATGGTCAACTATTATAACCGACTGTGTAGGTCAGTGGTAGAGCGTTGGGCTATATTCCCGGAGGTCGGGTGTTCGAACCTAGACTGAGATAAGAATTTTTCATCTGTGGCAGAGATTGGAATCAGTTTCGAGCATTCTGCCAGCTACTTCGAATTAGGTTTTCCTGCAGTTTTCCTAACTCGTAAAGTAAATACCGCCCAATGCTTATGTCTTCTTGAACGTCTCTGCTCTGAGGTCCATTTAAATTTGCGTTGTTAGCCAAAAACTCCATTTCCACATTCACATGGAGTCAATTTCGCGAATCAGCTTTTTGATAACCTTGCAACATTGTGCACACAATAAATAAATTATGGTCTACGTAAAATCGTATACTTTGCCAGCGCGGGGACAAATGCATCTGGCTACTGACGTCACGCAGTCTAGTTTCGCGCACAGGTACGTTTTCGCTGAGAGACGCTCGTTTCTGCCTTGTATAAGTGTTTATCCAGAAGTATGTTTGACTACCTCTAAGCCTTCAGAAATAAAAATCTAGATGTCATGGTACTCGTGGTAAACGTTATTCTTATAAGATTTACCGGTGTGGTCATGTTCAACGTTCTGAAGCTGCCAGTAGATGCAACGGTTGAAGCAAAACGTCCTGTTACGCAATCGCACTTTTTTTAATAACAGAAACTTATGGAATTTTTGAGACATTTTGCTTTCACATCAAAATAAGCAATTCAAAAAGTAATGAAAATAAATCTTTGCATTGGCATTAAAAAATTTGAAATTAAGTAAGTAACGGTTTTGACATCTCTTCGAAATATATGTCTTTGGTGACTCGCTTCTAATCCACTTAATGATATCTGTTGAATGTAGATATTATCCCGGGCGATCAAAAAAGGATTGACGTCGAGTCGCCTTTGGAAGTGCAAGTTAAATATGATTTTCCATGTAAACAAAAATTTTTGATCGCATAGTAAACTAACAGTACCTATCTACTCTAATTCTGTTTAACTTATGACCGGTGTTCACTAGAGTGTTCATCTCTCGATAAGTTTATTTTATTACAAATAAGTACCTTGACAAAGATTTTATCGACAACGGTATCCATTCTGTTTATCAGCAGAGTAAAGCTATTGGAAAGTGGAAAAGCCGGACCTTAGTTCAACTGCAATATTATACTAGGATCATAAAGTTTTTGTAAATCTGTAAATCTTCGTTATTATAAAATAACCGAGAAAAGAATAACGTTAACAGAATTCTGAAATTCCTTTTTGAGTTCTAAAACCTCTTGTTTTTATCTTGTTTAAAATTTTTGAATTGATGTCGAGTTCCCTCTCAAGCCCTGCACCACAACAACACGTTGTACACGAGAACTAAGCCATGCTCAACTACTCCGCAAGATACTTCGAGTGGATCAAAATCAGCTGCCAGGGCTATCAAGCAACGAAAAGATCTTCCAATTCAAACACTCCATCACAAGACATCGTATCGAACAATTCGGATCGGCCGGAGCGTATACGCTTCCCAAGTGACCTCATCTCAAGCAAGTTGGTACATATACATAGTGGTGAAAACGGCGACAGCAGAACTTGTCAAAACTGTTTTTCATGTAAGCCGCGCTGGCATATAACAGAAAAAGTAACGGGCGATCAAAAATGAGTTGCTGTCGAGTCGCCTTTGGAAGTACGATTTCCCATGTAAACAAAAATTCCAAAGGTGACTCGACTGCAACTCATTTTTGATCGCATTGTATTTACCAACATCAAATAGGTAGTGTCATTTGTGAATAGTACAAGATGGGTTGAAAGCTTCTTAATTAAAAATAACGCTAAAATCCTGATGATCTGTAACTAAAAATTGATCGTTTTTTAAAGAAAAATAAACGACAATTTAATTTCTAGTCATTCTACCTATAGTCATCGATATAAATAATAAAATCACGGAAAACACCTTTCACAAAAAAAGCAAAACGACCTCAGTTTCATAACCCGAAAAAATTACATTACAAATTAAAATTACATAGCCATTTCTGTATATTTTGAGTTAAAAAACGAAGTCAAAACAAAGTTCTTTTTAGAACATGAAATTCTGAGATACCTGTAGTTTCCGAATTTTCACCAATCCATCAGCATTTAGCGTACCTAACACATAAAAGTTAAGGCGTACATAAGCCACAAATTGTTTGTAATTTCCAAATTTGCAATTATCATTACTTACCCGAATCCAAACTTTTCCGGAAAAATTAAAATTATTTAAATCGGTGATTATTTCTAAACTGTAATGTTCCGGTATCAAAGTGGGAGGAAGCCGTACTTCATTTGCAGCTACATTCGGTACCCATATTCCACAAATCCATAAAAACACAAAGAAATAAATCATTCTCCTGCGAACAAACAAAAACGATAAAAGAACGTAAGTTCATACTTTGAAACGGAAAGTAAGTTTGCAATACCAAACTATATGGCAATCATGCGACACTAAACAGTAGGTACCTACCGATCTAGAAAACAATTATTTATTCTAACCTTAACCGAGTTTATTATTTTCGCAGTAGGTAAAAAGGTCGACAATTTGTTCCATAAACAATTTTCTCACATCTTTGTTAACCACCCATCATTAGATTACCGTAACAATTTTGTGCATTTCTTTTATTTTACTCGCGAGAATGCAATAGGATTTAATTAACGCTAACTGACTGCTTCCTAACGTAATTTCGTTTGCATCATAAGTAGGTACATAATGTTTGTATGGGATTGTTTTTCTGGCATAGAAGCGACATAGTATAAGACAATTTATAGGAAAGTCGCAGTACTTAAAGACATTAAGTGTCAAAATCGCAATTATTAGGACGAATCGTAATGTCACAGCATGACATCGAACTACTTATTCCTTGATTTAATATTCGTTACACGGTTTTAAGGCCAAGGTATGTATATAAACGCACATGCGGGCACCTCGGTTTTCTTCTAAATTATATCCTTGCATTAACTTTTAAATTAGGACATTGGACATACACTTGACGGTAGATATTATGTAGGTAAATAAATAATGGGCTATGTAAGCACCTAACCAATTGTAAGGACACTCTTTGGTGTGTACCTATTTACGATGAACTAGAATCAAATTAGTGCCTATATATTACACATCAACAGACTACATTGTCCCGAGGGTAGTACCAGGAAGCACCCGATGTTCGGACGATTGCAATCTTCCTCGTCGCGAAAACACGCATCTTTCGATACTTATGAAACAAATTACTTATAGTGCTTAATTGTAAAATCAATATCCACAATTACTAATAAGCAAATTTTTTGTTGTACCTACTCGTATGGGATTTTGTGCATTTTCGATTTGCAACATTTTGAAGCGATTAATGCCCGTTTGCACCGACAAATTTAAGTGGAGCTTAGCTTAAGGATAGCTTTAAATCCATGGCAACCATTGTCTCAATAATCGTTATGCCATGGATTTTAAGCTACGCTTAAGCTAAGCTCCACTTAAATTTGTCGGTGCAAACGGCCATAAACCCAATTTATTTTTGCATATTTTGATATTCTTTGCATTTACATATAAAAAATTGACATTAATTGCATATTTTAAGATGTAATTATATAAATTTTTGCTAGTTTTAATCGATTTTAATTTGAATTTCTAATGCATTTTTGGGGATTTTCATAACGGACGCGATCATGAAACATACTGCAATAGCTGGAAGGAAGATTTATTGATTTAATTGATACTGAATTTCTTCATGTTTCTTTCTGTTGAGCAAATAAAGGATTATTATTATTATTCATTTCCAAACTATTTTCTCTTTCTCTTTCTCTACGGCGTTGATGCGGGTGATATTGTGTACGGCTTGGAAATTACTCTCCATATTTTGTCGGCCCTTTCTAATACAAATATTACTTCTGTTGATGTAGAGAGAAGTTTCTCTGCTTAGTGCTTATAAATTAATTCTTAACAACAGGAGGCAGAAAACAAAGAAACATCTTATTGCTAGTGTTTATCATAATTCCTTTTTTCTTGGAAATTATGCAAGATATACCTACGGCCGGTTCCAGGAAAGCAAATTATAATCAAAATCCTAGATTATTTGCCAAATCTGAGTTTAAACAAGAATTTTGTCATTTGATTGACTGCCTACTGCAATATAAAGCCAATCAAATGTCTTAATACCGGATTATTTTTTTTGTGCAACTGGCCGATATAATTTTGCATATGTTTGCATATATACCAAAACTTTTTGCATATTTTGCACTAATTTTCTATGCTCATATTTTACCATTTTTCGTGCATATAATTCACAGCTCTACTAATACGCGTCAGGTTACGAAGACGCGCCATTGTTTAGAAATGAAGAAGCTGGGGAAATTATTACCTTTGATACTAATAAACATAACGACTATAAAGTATGACGCAAGATTGTAACGATTATACTTACACCTAAATTCTGTGTAACCTTATTGTTTATTGTATCAATCTCTGAGGAGTAAATATCCAATCCATAAAATGGAAAACTATAAACACGTTGTTTTAGTTCATGGGGTACAAAGAATAGTACTATTATGCAATGAGCATTTAATGATAGCTATTAAGACACGAGTATGAGAATTACTGGCGAGTTTCGTAATGATTATGAGTGTCTAATAGCCATTAAATGCGAGTTTCATATACTATTTTTTCTACGACTATGATGAGCTATCATCAAAAGGTGATTCCACGATGGCTGCAAAAGCGGTCCAAAATTTGAGATTTTTATTGCGTGCAGGTATAGTGAAGTCAGAGAACCATCAGTCATGCGTTCCAGCAGAGCGTCACTGTCAAATTTTATTAACGCCGATTCAAATCTTACGAACACCATTGTATGGGGAATTGGGAGAAAACACAAATTCGCTATCTCCAGCAGCTGTCAAAATTAATAAATTTTAGATCTGTTATATCTGTTCGTCAATAATTAAATATCCATGGGGAAGGTTTTGAGGAATTGAGTTGTTTATTTCCTGTATGGTGCATCACCCCATTTAGAGCATGTATCAACCACGAGTTTTTTCCAAATTTTAGATCTGTTATTGGTATGGCAACTTTGATTTTCATAAACTATACGTTGTTATCTGGGTTACCCCGTGATGCTGCAATTCTATTGCATCCCAAAGAAAAATAGAAGTGGTAGCTAGCTCATGGTAGTGCGGTTCGTGTGTTATCATAACACTTAATATTAAGGTTCAATTTTTTCTTATGTACCAACAAATCTTTACGTACTATTAAACAGTAACAATCAAAGTTTTATTTAGCAAACTCCAAATGCATTTCATCTTTTAAGATTTCTACAGATCAGACCGACAAAGCAAGAAAGCACAAGAGAAAAGTTTTTGTTTGAAGTAAAAGTATACCTACCTTTCTGTTTTATTGTAGAAACGGTGCACTTTGGTATTTCAATAAGACGTTTGCCTTAAAACTTATAAATTTCATACCTTTTGCATTATGACCATTATAATTTCAACAAAAGTAACAAACAAGTAGCTGAAAGTAGCTATTCTAAACAAGTAAATTGGAGGAAATGAACAAATTCGATATAAAGCGACGGAATCACAATAACAAAAATACCCATGCCAATTCGTACCAACCAGTTACAGGTGTAGAACATTGCATATAACTATGACAACAGTAATGTAAATAAGCAGATTGCAATAACAACATAAAAAACTGCGGTTTGATTCTGGAAACTGATGTGAAATAGGTAAATCAAACATAAAAAAGCACCTAATCATTTTTGCAACAACAAAAATTATTAATTTAGAAAGTTAAGCGGTTACACAATTGATCGTTAATCTACTTATTACTTAAAATGCGTAGTAGATACTTATGTATAGATAAGCGAAAAAGTATTTTGTGGGTCACCTACCTTAACAAGATAGAAGCAAGCTAACTTTGCACATTAAAGCGATTTGCAAATTGATTTTAAATTGACTGAATCGCGGCGTTTTTGCTATACCTACCTATGTTTTCCCACCAATATACCCACTTGAAACAAATTTATCCAGTTCAACGAACACGCCCCAACCTTATAAAATAAATCGAAGAATGTATCTTTCTTTGAATTTCAAATTAGTCTTTATATGTATTATCTAACAAAGGTTTTGCATGTAGGTATATGTTAAAACTTGTTTTACTTTATATTCCACACAGAACCGTCCTTAGGGTGGAGAGGCCGCTCCAGGCCTCACGCTGAGGAAGGCCTCGCACTCGCTAACAAATAAGTCACAGTTTTGCTTGAATGAGAATAATAAAATAAGCTTTTAGTTTTTCCTAAAAACCAACAAGAAAATAAGAAGTCGAAATTGTGCCAACCCGAAATGGAAGTTTTGCACCTTTTCAGAGAGTAGGTAAGTATATAAGTGTAAGAGATTAAATTTCTTCTTCAAAGTGCTTAAAATGACGACTTGGCAAGTATAATTTTGAAAATTTTCCGGTGACCCCCTCTCCCCCCCATTGTTAAAAGAAGTCCCGCAAAAATGTTTTGCGCCAGGCCTCGCATTTGCTAAGGACGGCTCTGGTTCCACGTATCTATTCAAATTATAGGTATCAGTAAACACATTTGCTATTCTAAATGTGCGATTATCATGTTGCGCATATAGGTACTTACCGTTACCAATAGCTTTAAAAATTTCCGATCTCTAACGCAGGACCTTCTGGAACTTTCCTGTTGGTAACAATTTATTTGCAATAACGTCAGCCTTTGTATATATTATATTCAAAGCGTCAGCCAAATTAAATCTGGGTTACGACAAGGCGACCTTTTTTACAAACAAAAAGGTACCTATATAGATAGGTTACGATAAATAGGTAGGTATAAAGTAGGTATTCAACATCACATGCTAATGTGTTTGCGGAGTCAATATTTTATATATTCAATGCGTCGCTAAACAAGAACACCTTCGCTGGGATATTCAAAATGGCTAATATCTGTCCAATTCTAACAAGTTAAAAAGTAATCGTAAACGATTTACATAAAGCGCATTTCCACTTGCATTCATTTCCCATTTGTAAGATGCAATTTTGAAACTAATGTTAGATTTTCCTTTGTTCCAAGCGCCAAAGTATCAAATTTCACTTTTCCTTTATTCCAAGTGCCTATGTATCAAATTTCGTTTAAATTCTTCCATAAATAAAAAAGTTGACACTGCCCATGCGCAAAACCAAATTTTGAAACTGGCGTTTGATTTTCCTTTATTCCAAGTGCCTATGTATCAAATTTCGTTTAAATTCTTCCATAAATAAAAAAGTTGGCACTGCTCATGAACAAAACCAAATTTTGAAACTGGCGTTTGATTTTCCTTTATTCCAAGTGCCTATGTATCAAATTTCATTTAAATTCTGCCATAAATAAAAAAGTTGGCACTGCGCATGCGCAACACCAAATTTTGAAATTGGCGTTTGATTTTTATTTATTCCAAGTGCCTATGTATCAAATTTCGTTTAAATTCTTCCATAAATAAAAAAGTTGGCCTATGTATCAAATTTCATTCAAATACTTTTATAAGAAAAAAAGTTTGCAATTCGGTTTATAAATGGTCGAGATGCGAAAAGGGCACTGTGAATTTTGAATCGATTCGACTCAACTTTTGGCATTGTGTATTATATGGCTAAGGCTATGCCCATATTGAATTTCATGCAATTCAGTTCACAACTAACGGAGATGTAAAAGCGATCGGACATTTCTAAACAAAATTATCGTTCATACGAACAGATAGAGGGACAGACAGGCAAA